AATCATACAATGTGTGATCTTTGGTGTTTGGCTCTTTTCACTAAGCATAATGTTCTCAAGTTTCATCCATGTTGAAGAATGTATCCTTTTCATAGCTGAATAATATTCCAATGTAGGAATATACCATTTTTTGTTTATCCATTCATTCGTTGATGGATACCTGAGTTGTTTCCACTTTTTGGCTATTATGAATAATGCTGCTATGAATATTCATGTAAAAATTTTTGTGTGGACATGTTTTCATTTCTCTTGGGTATATCCTGAAGAGTAGAATTGCTGGATCATATGATAACTCTATGTTTAACCTATTGAGGAACTGCCAAACTGTTTTCCAAAGAGGGTGCACTATTTTGTATTCCCACCAGCAGTGTATGAGGGTTCCACTTTCTCTATGGCTTCTTGACACTTGTTATTGTCTATCTTTTTGATTAGAGCCATCCTAGTAGATGTGAAGTGGTATCTCATTGTGGGGTTATTTTTTGCTGAGGAAGATTAGCCTTGAGCTAACATCTGTGCCAATCTTCCTCTACTTTATATGTGGGTCACCACCACAGTGTGGCTGACGAGTGGTGTAGGTCCGCGCCCAGGATCCAAACCCGTGAACCTGGGCTGCAGAAGCAGAATGTGCTGAACTTAACCACTATGCTACAGGGCTGGCCCCATTTTTTCAAAATTCTTTCTCTCTCTTTTTTTTTTTTTTTGCTGAGGAAGATTTGCCCTGAGCTAACATCTGTTGCCAAGCTTCCTATTTTTTTGTTTTGTTTTGTTTGAGGAAGATTAGCCCTGAGCTAACATCTGTGCCAGTCTTCCTCTACTTTATATGTGGGTCGCCGCCACAGTGTGGCTGATGAGTGGTGTAGGTCCATGCCTGGGATCCAAACTGACAAACCCAGGCCACTGAAGCAGAACATGCCGAACCTAACTACTACACCAGGGGGCTGGCCCGTCATTGTGGTTTTGATTTGCATTTCCCAGATGGCTAATGATATAGGGCATCTTTTCATGCACTTATTGTCATTTGTATATCTTCTTTGGAGAAATGTCTATTCAAATCTTTTGTCCATCGTGATGGTTAATTTTATGTGTCAACTTGTCTGGGCCAATGTGTCCAGATATTTGGTTAAATATTATTCTAGATGTTTCTTTGAGGGTGTTTTTTAGATTAGATTGACATTTAAATTGGTGGACTTTGAGTAAAGCAGGTGGCCCTCTATAAAGTGAGTGGGCCTCATCTAATCAGTTGAAGGGCTTAAAAGAACAAAGGCTGACCTCTCCCAAGCAAGAAGGAATTTTGCCAGCAGATGGCCTTTGAACCTGAACCAGAACATTGTCTCTTCCCTGGGTCTCCAGCCTGCCAGCCTACCCTGCAGATTTTGGATTTGCCAGCCTCCGTAATTACATGAGCCAATTCCTTAAAACAGATCTCTCTTTCATTATACACACACTCACACACACACTATTGGGTTCTGTTTCTGTGGAGAACCTTGACTAATACACTCATTTTTAAATTGGGTCATTTGTCTATTTATTGTTGATTTGTAAGAGTTCTTCGCAAATTCTGGATATAAGTCCTTTATCAGGTGCACGATTTGCAAATATTTTCTCTCATTCTGTATGTCTTCTTTTTACTTTCTTGATGGTGTCCTTTGAAGCACAAAGGTTTTAAATTTTTTCTTTCTTTTTGGTGAGGAAGATTAGCCCTGAGTTAACATCCGTTGCCAATCCTCCTCTTTTTTGCTGAGGAAGACTGGCCCTGGGCTAACATCCATGCCCATCTCCCTTTACTTTATGTGGGACGCCGCCACAGCATGGCTTAACAAGCGGTGCGTCGGTGTGCACCCAGGATCCGAACCTATGAACCCTGGGCCGCCACAGCGGAGCGCGCGCACTTTACTGCTTGCGCCACCAGCCGGCCCCTTAAATTTTTCATAAAAATTTGTAGGTAATGTAAACGTTCTGAGGGGGTTCACAAGCAAAAAAAATTGAAGACTATTGATCCACACAGAAAAAAGGAGGACCATTTTTGTTTAGAGAAGTAGTTTTTTATTTTTTTTCATTTAACTTCACAAGTCACAAACAAGTACAGTTGATGTCCAAATATTGGCCTAAATTTCTATCCACCAGAATTGCTGTACTATTGTAATTAACCTGCACAAGGCTTTATCAACAGTGTATCCCTATATAAAACCAGGAGTTATGTGAGCTGCTTATCTTATTTCCTAATATTTTTTTTTTTTTTTTTTTTTTTTTTTTTGTGAGGAGATCAGCCCTGTGCTAACATCTGCCAATCCTGCTCTTTTTTTGCTGAGGAAGACTGGCTCTGGGCTAACATCCGTGCCCATCTTCCTCCACTTTATATGGGACGCCGCCACAGCATGGCTTGCCAAGCGGTGTGTCGGTGTGCGCCCGGGATCCGAACCTGCGAACCCCAGGCCACTGCAGCGGAACGCACGCACTCAACCGCTTGTGCCACCAGGCCGGTCCCCTAATATCTTTTAAAAATAACTTTATTGAAATATAATTTACACACCATAAAATTCACCTGTTTTAAGTGCACAATTCAATGATTTTTAGTAAATTTCTCAAGTTGTGCACCCATCACCACAATCTGTTCCCAATGCCCCTTTTTAAAAAAAATTATGGTAAATCTAGTGCCTTTAAAAAAAATAATATTACTAAATTATTCCAACATGACACATATGGAATAAGGTTTTGAGGAAAATAACAAAAGCAAAAAAATTTTTTTAAGATACGGGTTAGCACTTTTTCCCCCAGCCATAACTTTTATGATCCAACTTCCCTTAATTTCCATTTGCGGGATCAAAGCCAGCAGCCAGCTGTTTGTCTAACTGCTTGTCCTGCGGTTGCACACAGCAGTCAAGTTCAGTGGCTTCCCCTCTCAGCTTTGCTTATCTTTCTGCAGTGAGGGACTTTGTGACCTCTGCTGACAGGCTGTCCTTTTAATAACCATTCCAAAGCTATAAAAAAATGCCGTTCATTTTTCCTTCCACCATTTCTACTTTTGATTGCCTTTTTTAATATAACATTTTCTGATGGCCTAATTGTGAAATCCATGGACACTGGCCTGTGCTCTTGACTGCTCTGCGCCATTTGATCCTGTTGACTGTTGTGTCCCCCACCCCTCCTCACCCCCCACTTTCTGGCTCAGCTGTGACCTCCTCCTGGGCTACTGACTGCTGAAATCTTTGCTGAGTCCCTCCCCTGGGCTGCTCCTCACACGCCGGCTTTCCCCGGCCTTCCATCCTACTTCCTCTTCTCACTCTCCACCTGCTCCAGGTGACTTCATCCACTCTCACGGCTTCCATGGCCCCCTCTCTGCCAATGGCTCCAAATCCTTGTCTCTGGCCCTAACCTCCACTCCAAGCAGAAGCAGAGATTTAGAGGAGCGGCTGCCTTCCTGAGCATCCCCTGTCACTGCCAGATGGAGCTCACCGCCTCTCACTCTCTCCACCTTGCTGTGTGGTGTGACGTCCACCTGGTCTCCCAAGCTACAAGCCTGCAGTTACCTCCACAGAATACACTGGAAGATTCCTGGAGGCCCAGCTGGCTTGGCAGACTTCCAGAGAATCCACTTTCTTCAGCTTCTCTGCACTCTGGCCTTTACTGCCTGTGATGTCCTGAACTGATTGTCTGGATCCCAGTCCCCTCCCTGGATATTCCTGCTCTCAGCCTTCAATTTCATCCCTGTTCCTCAGCCTCTATCTGTGGAGACGAAGGATCACTCAGCTTTTCTACTCATACTCTCAGGGAAGAGAACTTGGCCCTGTGTCCCAGGCTGGTCAGATATGACCTTTTGCCCTAGTGGCCCAGACCATCCTCCTCCCTCCTGGAGACAGCTGGCCAGGCTCCTCTTGCTGCCTGCCCCTATGTCCTCCAAGTTCTGTCCTGTGAGCCACAGAGAAAGGCTAAGGGCGGTGATGAGGCCAGCAGAGGGCTGATCCTGTCCCACATATGGCCCCATGTTAGGAAGGTTTGACCCAAAAATAGGAGGTTCTGGATCCCAGTGATGGAGACTTGCCCTCCTCTTAACTTGGAAGACTACCTCTCTTCGTCTGGGGCTCCGCACCAAATATTAATAACCCTCCTTGGAAGTCCCTCACACTTCCCTCAGTGGGCTCATCCAGGATCTTGCTGATGGCAAGGCAAAAACACAAGAGCTGACTGGCCTTCTCTGACCATGGCAGGGACAGTGGGAATGTGACTACACAGACTCAGCCCTGATGAGCCCCTGGGTATCTTATCTCTTTCCTTCTTCACTCTGAAGTTCCCACAGAATGCTGTTTTTCCATTTCCTCTGTCAGGACCACACAGAGGGACACACTTCCAGCAGCCATTAGGGGACAAAGACACTGCTATCCTAACTGCATGCCATGCACACCACTGGGTTCTGGGGTCTTGATCCCCATAAGGCAACTTTACTCCTGAGACTCCAAGACTTCAGCACATCACACTTGGGATCAGAAAGGCTTCAGTTCCATTCTCTAATGCTCCTACACACTTCATATAGAAAAGAATGGTAAAACATCACTTCAGTAACGTCTGCTGAGGCTGAGTGCCATGGCCACGCAGGATTGATGCACAAGGTACTAGCTCCACCATGTCCTGGACCACCAGCAGGCCCATGGGAACCTGGTCCACCCCCTGGGTTGGGGGAAGAGATGAACGAAGGTAGCTTCCAGAGGTAGCATCACAAAGCAAGTGGCTCTGCGTCCAGTGCTTTACCTCCGAACATCCATTATGTATGAAGATCCTAGAGCCTGGATGTTCTTTTGGGTTACTCCTAAGAATCCTGCCCACCATTAGACCCTGCTGGGGCAGTCCTGGCTTGTCCTCACCAATATAGCCTGTTTTAGGGATGGAGAAGTGTGGCTTCAAGTGAAGTAGGGGACATCATCTCTTCACAATGGGTCTGCATCCCAGAAAAACTAGTGCTAAGCTGGACCAAGAAGCCCCTCCCCCTCAAATACACACACACATACCCAGACCTAAAGGACTGCTAGCTCTTTCTGGTATCAGGTGCATCACCCCTACTTTAGCCCATGTCTTCCTTCTATGGTTCCCAAGGCCAAAGGGGCCTTCCAGCTACAGAAGCACCACTTTGCCTTCTCCCACATTATGATCCATCCTAGGTCCCCACATCCTTTATTGTAGTAGGTGATGCTCAACAAAGCAATCAGAGCCTTCCATCCTCAGAGGCTCTGAACATTGCCTTCACTCTCCTATATACCTGATTGCCTAGCTAATTAGAATTACCCCATTGTGGGAAAGGATAGTCTTTTCAGTAAGTGGTATTCGGAAAACTGGATAATCACATGCAAAAGAATGAAATGGGACCCCTATCTTACACCACTTACAAAAATTAACTCAAAATGGATTAAAGAAGACTTAAATGTAAGACCCGAAACTTTAAACTCCTAGAATAAAACATAGGGAAAAAGCTTCGTGACATTGGTCTTGGCAATGATTTTTTTGGATATGACACCAAAAGCACAAGCAACAAAAGCAAAATAAACAAATGGGACTACATCAAACTAAAAAGCTTCTGTACAGCAAAAGAAACAATCAACAAAATGAAAAAACCAATGGAATGGGAGACAATATTTGCGAACTATCTATATGATAAGGGGTTAATAACCAAAATATATAAAGAACTCATATAACTTAATAGCAAAAAAAAAAAAATCCAAGTAAAAAATGGACAGAGGACCTGAATAGACATTTTTCCAAAGAAGACATACAGTTGGCCAACAGGTACATGAAAAGATGTTCAACATCACTAATCATCAGGGAAATACAAATCAAGGAGATATCACCTCATACCTGTTAGAATGGCTACTACCAAAAAGACAAGAGATAACAAGTGTTGGCCAGGGTGTGGAGAAAAGGGAACCCTTGTTCACTGTTGATGGGAATGTAAATTGGTGCAGCCATTATGGAAAATGGTATGGAGGTTCCTCAAAAAATTACAAATAGAACTGCCATATGATCCAGCAATCCCACTTCTGGATATTTATCTGAAGGAAATGAAATTACTATCCTGAAGAGATATCTGTACTCCTATGTTCATTGCAGCATTATTCACAATAGCCAAGACATGGAAACAACGTAAGTGTCCATCAATGGACAAATGGCTAAAGAAAACGTGGTGTATATATATATAATGGAATATTATTCAGCCATAATAAAGAAGGAAATCCTGCCATTTGCAACAACATGGATGGAACTTGAGGGCACTGTGCAAAGTGAAATAAGTCAGACAGAGAAAAACAAATACTGTATGATCTCACTTATATGTGGAATCTAAAAAGCCAAACTCATAGAAACAGAGAGTAGAATGGTGGTTGCCAGGGGCTGAGGCAAGTGGAGGAAATGGGGAGATGTTGGTCAAAGGGCACAAGCTTCTAGTTATAAGATGAATAAGTTCCGGGGATCTAATGTACAGCATGGCGACTAGAGTTAATAAAACTGTATTATATACTTCAAAGTTGCTAAGAGAGTAGATCTTAAATGTTCTCACCACACACACATAAAAAAAGGGTAATGATGTGAGGTGATGGAGGTGGTAACTATCCTTATTGTGGTAACCATTTTGCAATATATCTGTGTATCAAATAATCACATTGTACAGCTTAAACTTACACAATGTTATATGTCAATTATGTCTCAATAAAGCTTGAATGAAAAGAATAACCCCATTGCACATAATATCTTACCATTAACACTTGCTCTGAGCTCTGGCATGGCCTCATGGAGCAGGGGGAGGAGGGGAATGAGGTGGAGGGCAATTAGATCTGGAAATAGAATCCGAGAGGATGAAAGGGTCATTCTTCCTCTCCAGGGGCTTCTGCCTAGCCAACAACAGCAGCATGTCTCCGAGCTTAGGAGCACGTTCCCTGTCTTCACTCCACCTGGGCTCCTGGCTGCTGCCTCTGCTCCAGGGGCACTATAGGCCCCACTGGTCATGCCAGAGTTTCAGAAGTCCTGGACCCAGCATGCTATGGGGCAACAGGAGTGGCCTGGGAAGTCTGTACCCACACAGAGGTTATGTGGGGAAGCCCAAGGTCCTTCTGCAGCTCCAGCTGACCCCATCACATGCATGGGCTGTGGCACTGAGCATCATTCATTGCCTCAGCACTGATTATTCATGGGGCTGGAGAGGTGTGGATTCAAGAAAACAGAACTGTGCTACATGCTGAGGCTACAATGAACGAGACACAATTCCTGGTACAACAGAGGCTCCAGACAAGTGAAGTAATTACCCATCTGGGGCTGGTGCACAGCTTCTCAGAGATACCACTTCCCTCTGTCCTGGGACCCCAGGACACCTCTCCCTCTTAAAGCACAGGCTGTGGTCACACAGGCCAAATCATGCTGTTTCCCTCTGTGGCTCCAGCATCACACCTGAGTGTCACCTGTAGGCAGAAATCTTCCTCGAAACCATCTTGTCTCTACAATCTGCTGGCTGTGCGCCCCCACGGCTCTCCTCATGAGTGTCCCTGCCGGGTCTACAGCACAGCATCATGATGCTTTGCTCAGCAGAAGTGACAAGTCTGCACATCCTGTTTTCTGGGGGCTCCATTACGGGCAAGTTTCAACTCCCCTGGGCATCAGGCACCCCCATGTCCTAGCTCCACCTCCCCACACAGCCTCACCTTCTCCAGTGGATGCTGCTGTTCCTTCTGACCACTCTCAGTGTCCTCCCATGTAAGTCCCACCTGAGGCCCTGGCTCAGGCTGTTCTTCCTGCTGAGAGCTCCCCACCCTTCCTCATCTCACCACTGCTCCTTAAACTCCTACCCATCCACCACGGCCAAAGCCTGTCACATCCTCATGAGGGCCACTGCCTTCCTAAAATCCACTAACAATAGCATGACACCCCCTCCCTTCAGCACCCAAGGTTATCCTTGGTTAACCAGGAGACCCGGAGGTTATCCTTGATATCACCCAATCTAATTAATGCCCCGTTAATGCTGATTCTGGTTCTATCTCCTCAATCTCCAGATAATATCCCTCCACCCCCTCCCCTCACCCCTCCCTAAGGGCACTACCCTCTGGATTCAGAAAGTCTTGTGTTTGCATTCTGTCTCTGCTACTTCCTAGAAGTACAGCCTTGAGAAAATCATCTCTCTAGGCCTTACTTTCATGAGTCCACGAAATGGGTTTATTAATAGTTTCTACCTCACACAGTTGGCATTTAGACGAAATAACATAATGTATGTAAAATGCTTAGCATAGGACATGGCTCAAAGCAAGTCCTCAATAAATGTTAGCTGCTGTCATTATTATTGTTGTTGCTATTATTATTATTTGGACCTCAGCTTCTCCCACCTGGGCTAGGATAGAAGTCTCCCACATGGTCATCCGTGGAGGGTGAGGACCAGGGTCAGAAAGCGAAAACTCACAGAGGCCACAGCAGTGTGGAGACTGTGAGAGCCACAGGCCACTGTGGGATCATTCTGTCCCTTGAAAACAGCTAAAGATGGGAGAAGGCACCAAAGCAGAACAGCCTCATATCCAGGCACAGGCACTGGCTATGAGATCACCCCTCCTTACAGCAAGAGCTTCCAAGTTCCTAGGCAGAGACATGGAATTCTAGGCCTGGAGGGTCCCTTGGAGAGCATCTAATTCAATTTCCTGAATTTAGGATGGCAAAATTGGGTTTCTGTGAGGAGAAAGGGCTTGCTACGGCCAATTCCATTTAACAAGGATTGATCTGGGGCTACTCTGCATCCAGCCCTGTGCTGGGTGCTGGACACAGAGCCAGGCAGGAAAAGCGTTGGATGGGGACCCAGTTTACCACTAAACCACACCACCTACATACTGAGGAGTGGCCCGCTAAAAATAACACTTCCATTTCTATGTACTATCAAAAGGGAGAAAATGAGAATTCTGTATTACCAATAAATCATCGTGAGAAATTCTTTCAACCAGAACCTGGAATGTGAAACACCGAATTGAACTGTTACACAAGCAAGACGACTAGAAAACACTGAGCACAAATGCTAATAAGAACAAATTCTTTCAGGCCAGCATTTGCCCTTGGAATACACGAACACAAACTGGCATCAACGTAGGAATTTTGCAACACGCCCCCAGAGTTGACACTTTCCCCCTCAACACCCAGACTCTTTCAGTTTCTTAAACTATTCAGAATTTAGGGAGAAAGGAACATTAACAATAAATTGCAGTTTTATAAATGATGAAACTGAGGCTTAGAGCAATAAAGTAATAAATCACAGTCTATGAAGAATATATTAGCTAGAAAGCTTCTACTCTATGCCGTAGGGCTGCAGTTTAAAAAAAAAAAAAAAGGCATTTGCTTAAGTCTTATATGGGAGGTGTCTCCCTGTGCTTTAATTAGAAAAAGTCTCTGAAAAAATTTTTTTTAACCTTTTATGGGTCACGGGTGCCTCTGAGAATCTACTGAAAGCTGTGAATTCTCTCCCACAAAGTGAGCCCAAAAGGACACAAACATAATTTTGCATATAACTTTAGAAGCTCACTCATGTAGGCCCTAGCAATTCCTGAGCCACAGCTAAAGAAACTTGCTTTAAAGCATTAGCTGGACAGTTATGCAAAACGGTTCAAATCAGCTTTACAGGCAAAGTCCAAACTGAAAACTTTCTCCAGGAGGAGGGGGTATGCCAAACAAGTGAAAAATGATTACAATGCTCTTTCTCAGTATTTGAACCAAAGCATGAAATTATGATTTGTCAGCATGCACATGCAGATTAAAATAAAATGTATTTATCAACCTGATACCACAGCGAGATGATATAAAAATTTAGGGTTCCAAACTGTTCTAGCAAATGGGACCCTGCACTAAAAATATCCTAAAGACACATGGCAAGAATCATCAGCATCTCTCTACCTGCATCGGAGGCTTTCACACCCTGGGCCAACATGACATTCAGTAAAGGTGAATCCTTGCTACAAGAGGCACATGAGACATTCACACTGTTTATTGTCATTTACGCATCTGCAATTTAAGATCTCTCTGCACACCTAAAGGAAAGATACTGCATTAACATTATGGCATTAAGTTACTGAGTTTCTAATAATACAATTTGTATTAGAAGAATATGACTATCCCAAAACTTGCCTGCCAATTTAAGGGTCCATAAATTCTTCCTTTAACTCTGAGGCCCTGGATAACTGCTAGAAACCTGCGTCCGAGTTCGGCAGGCTTTCCTTCTCGGTGACCTCTGCGTGCCCCACAGGCTGCCCCGCCTGTGCTACACTAGGGCTCTGCAAGTGGGGCAGCGAAGTCGATGGTAACACGAGAATGCTCCGGCTGCAAATAGCAACAGGCCTGTCGTGAGTGAAGGCCCAAATATAGACCTGCCCAGGCTGTCCTGCCACTTCTTACTGCTCAAATGTCACTAGGAGACGTCACATGCTGTCCTTTGAGTTACTGCATTTACTGTGGGGATTTGAGTCCTGTGGCTCCACCGGGGCACTCGGATGGCCAGTCATGTGTAGATGGCTGGGGGCTGTCACAGCAAGGGCAGGAGAGCTGTGTGGCCACGCAGAGGAGAAGGACCTCTGAGAGCCCTGGGGCTGTGCACCTTCCACCAGGGCTGAGGGTCTTTTCCCAAAGCGTTTTGAAGAAGCACAACTCCGCAGGTACTCAAATGCAACTTAAATTTTTTCTCCCGCCATTCCTTTCACATTTACCCGGGGTGGGAATTATACCCCTCTCTGGATGAAAACCTAGCAGCCCCATGACTTTCTGCTCCCTCTTAGGAAACAGAGTCCTGGGGTCACTTGAAGGCACAGTCTTCATTCAGTAATTGAATGTACAGTCCAGTGTATTAATTAAAAAGTCAAACTGAGTTGAGCCAGCATCAAGATCTTCTGTCCTCCCCATCTGGGGCCTCTTAGCTGGAAGTCTGCCTGAGAAAGGAGGAATGAGGTCGGCCTCTTCTCCTGCACCTCCTCCCTGAGCTGTGGGTTTGGACGCCAGGGCAGAAGGCGCTAAGGCGCTAAGACAGCTCCTATCTGAGTTGATGTCACAATGGGTCCTAGCTTCAGGCTCCCTGGGGCTGGCAGATGCTTAGAGCTCTCTCTCTCTCTTTCTCTCTCAGAGCTGTTGTACATCTCTAGAGTTTCCCCTTATGGAGATCTTTCCCCGGAAGTTCCCACAACCAGGCTGAGAACCCCTCTGTTCCAGCATGTCCCTTGCATTCCTCCTCCAGGCCCTGGTGGGCCCCCTCCAAGATCTCTCAGATGAGGTCTATTCACCCATGCAGCTGGCTCTCTTAGGCAGGATCTAGGTGACTTCTTGCTGGCTCTGTCTTCCTGCTGGCCCACATCTGGATCTTAGGAGGTAGGCCCCACCCTCGGTCCCTGCAAACTCTGGGATGCAGACAATCCCAATGCAGGCACCTCCCCTGGCTCCACCTCTCACCTCAGACCACCATTGGCTCCCCTGTAGGAAATACAGCAAGCTCTCTGAAGGGTCGCTTTGAAGACTCCCTCACTAGGCTTGGGGGTAGAGGGTGGGACTTCCAACCCTCCCCCTAGCCCAATGACAGCTCTCTCCAGAGAAATCACTTCACCAGTCTCCTCCACACATCCTCTTTTCTTCACTCTGATCCATTTTTATTTTCTTGAGTCAGCTGAGAGCATAAATTGGGTTCTGGACCATTTCCTTTAAAAGTCTACATATGGTGATTTACTCTCAGAATTTTACATCTATTGCTTTTTCAGGCCTCAATCAAAATTATATTTTTAAAATACCATTACTGCCAGGTATCTATAATATAAAAATACTGGAAGCAAAATAAAATATCAAAAGCAAAAAAAATTGAAAGAAAAAATTATGCAAAGATGTATGTACAAGAATGTTCACCACAGCATTGTCTAGATTAGCAGAAAATTGAAATTTATCTACATCTATCAATATGAAATTTGTTATATAAATCACAATATAGTCAACTCAATATTGGCAATTATTAAAAATAATGATGTAAATGCCTATTTTTTTAATGTGGAAAATGTCCACAACATATTTATAAGTAGAAAAGGAGTATGCAAAATATCATTATAGGGGCCAGCCCCGTGGCTTAGTGGTTAAGTGCACGCACTCTGCTACTGGTGGCCGGGGTTCAGATCCCAGGTGCGCACCAATGCACCGCTTGTCCGGCCATGCTGAGGCGGCGTCCCACATACAGCAACTAGAAGGATGTGCAACTATGACATACAACTATCTACTGGGGCTTTGGGGGGAAAAAGGAGGAGGATTGGTAATAGATGTTAGCTCAGGGCTGGTCTTCCTCAGCAAAAAGAGGAGGATTCCCATGGATGTTAGCTCTGGGCTGATCTCTCTCACACACACAAAAAATATTATAGTATAATCATATATTTATATTATATATATACACACATACAAAATGAGTGCAGTTATCTCTTTTGAGTTATTTTACTTTTTCTTTATATCTTTGATAGTGTCTATTTTTATAATATATACCTTTTATTAATTTTTTAAAATATTTTTTATTGTAAAATAATATATGATATTTGGCTTAGAAAAAAGCAAATTACTACAAAAGAACCATAAAATGAATATAAACCAGTCATGCATCCTGGTAACAACAATTATTAGGTTTGGTGTGTATTTTTCCATATTTTTTTCCTAAGAGTATACAAACTTATCCCCCTCTCACACACACAAAATAGAAATTACTTTTATAATTAGAAAGCCTGCTCGTCTCATTTTGAAAAAGCAAATGAATTAGAAAGACTACAAGAAAGGATAAAATAGTATAAAACAAATACAGTAAAAAGACATACTGTAAAGAACATACAAAAATGATATTAAAACAGACTATTAAAGAATTACAAGTAACTCATATTAGCTAAAACAATATACAAAAAAAATAGTTTGAGAAAACATAAACTTCACTTCAGCTAAACGGTTCTCTCTCCGAGGACGGGGTGACAGCCAGAGCAGCAGTTCTGAGTCCAAGGCCCCATAGACCCCCAAAACACACACAAAGGCATTAAACGGGGGGGGGGGGGGGGACACCTTCAGAGGCAACTTCAGACCTTCAAGCTACATTCCACAGAGGTCCCTAGAGGCCATGGGATCATCTTCCAGGGGAAGAGATGCCCTGACCATAGCTTCAGGCTGGTTCTGTTGTTGTTTTACCTTGGGCATAACATTAAGTGCGAAGAGGATTCCAGGCATTCCCAGCTCAAAACCTTCAAAAGCTCTCTCACTGGTTCCTGAATGAAGACCTCACTAGCCTTGTTTGGGTGAAGGGCTCTTCCTCCCCTCCCTCTCCACACCTCCACTCCCTGTCTCCGCGCACTCACAGGACAGGGGGTGACAGGTACTGTACTTCCGCAGAGACCAGGGCTGTGGTGTTCCCTGTCGCATGAACAGGTCCAGCTCCACCCCACACTCCATCTTCCCATGCAAGCTAGATTTTCCCATCTTCTTAAAGGGGTCTTTAGGAGCCAGGTGGTCTTATTTAGCCTGAGTGTGTATCTTAAGACAAATTTCTTTTCTGGGTCTCATTTTCCTTCTCTCTAAAATGAAGTTAGGACATATGGTATTTCAACATGCTGGTTGGGAGCTGGGATGCTTTGAAGACAGAAATATCTTTCTTGTATGCCCCTCTGCCTCCCTGGCAACATAGGCACACAGCAGACACTCCATAAAAGCCTGTTGAATTGATAACAATAAATATGTGACTTCTACCTAGGGCTTGGCGCTTAGAGCCCCTCAATAAATAACTATGACGTCTAATATAAAGTTTGATCTCTCCAGCAAGTTGGTACCATTCTTGAGAGCAGGAACCACGTATTCACTACGGTCCTGATGACAGAAGACGAAATCGGCTGGGTCCCCGTTCTCAAGAGGTTCACAGTCCAGTGTAGGCGACTTAGACAATAACTCGTTCATTTAACGAACATTTATTCACCGTCACTATGTACAAAGGTGGAGAAGGAGAGCCAAGAGCGGTAATTCCCGGGCTCCAGACGAGGTTGCCACACTGATGGATTCCGAGAGCCGGGTCGCAGGCAGACTTTTTGACCTTGTCATTGGTTGTTGCGAACCCTCCCTTCTATTATTCGATCAATCCCGGACGCCCGCTGGAAGCCCCACGGGCCGCAGATAGCCAATCAAAAGTGCCAGAGGGGGGCAGTAGTGGGGCCACGGATGCGGGTTACAGTCCAGCGAAAGATGTCGCGGCCGGGGCCGCCGGCGGCCCTGGGGGACGAGCAGCCCGACAGCCTGGAGGGCTGGGTGCCAGTCCGCGAGGACCTCTTCGCCGCGCCCGAGCGACACCAGCTGCGCTTCCTCGTGGCCTGGAACGACGCGGAGGGCAAGTTCGCCGTGACCTGTCACGACCGTACGGCGCAGCGGCGGCGGCGCCAGGGGAGCCGGCCGGGGCCCAAGCCCGAGCCCGAGCCCGAGCCCGAGCCCCAGCCCCA